GATTTTTCTTTTATGCCAAAAATCATTAGGATATTAAGTAAAGATCATGTTCCATGAAGATATTTAGTAAATTTCCTACCGTAAATACATCAAAACTTAATTTTTGATTAGTAATATGCATTGCTAAGAACTTCATTTGGACAACTTTAAAGGTGATTTTCTCAATATTTAGATTTTTTTGCACCCTCAGATTCCAGATTTTCAAATACTGTCCTATCCTAACAAACCATACATCAATGGAAAGCTTATTTATTCAGTATATATTCATATATAAATCTCAATTTAAAAAAATTGACCCTTATGACTGGTTTTGTGGTCCAGTGTCACAAATGTTTACTTCATTAAGAAAAACACTTTACAAAAACAAAGCAATGCATAGAGATCAGATACAGACCCTGTGATTAATTTCTCATAAGCTAAAACATGCACTTCATATTTTTTTCCTCATTGAAATGTTTTAAACCTGTAGAAATGAATAGTACAGATCAGATTAGATGGCAACATCGGTTTTTACATGAATGCATTTAACAAACAGCGTTTGCGGTCTAAAATGTCATGTTTATTACAATCTAAAAATAACACTATGGTCTTTCCCTTCACTGAAAACACATTAAATAATACTTAACTTCGCATTTATTCTCCTTATCTAGTCCTATGCGAGGCATGCTGGGAACTGAATACTAAAAAACTAATTTTATAATATATAAAATACTAATATTAGTTTCTAAACCCAAATTTACAAAAAAAAAATTTAAAGAGTTTTCATAATAATGTTGATTATTAAATTAACTTAATATTGTATGTAATGTAAACTCACATTTCTGTGTTGATTTCCTTACAAAATGAAATGATGCTGAAAATTCAGCTGCGCATCACAGAAATAAATTACAGTTTAACAGATATTCACATAGAAAACAGCTGTATTAAATAATAAAAATATTTCAAAATTTTTAAAGTATTTTTGATCAAATAAATGCAGCTTTTGTGACTAGAAGAGACTTCTTTCAAAAACATTACCAACCTCAAACCTTTAAACAGTACAGTACTATATGTCTTAATGCACTGGATAAAATATTAAATTCATATTACTTAGTTTCCGATTATCACAATATGGAGTGTATTTTAAATAATTTCTCTCTTTGGCTTTGATTGCATGTTCAGCGTTGCTTGAATATTGCTGATCTCTGACCAGAAGCGGATTCGTTCGTGTGGAAATCAGAAGTTGTTGTTTTGTGGACAGTGAGCTTGTGCACCGTCTTAAATGAATTATTAATGCAAACATGCATTTTTTAATAGATCCAGAAGCACTGGGTGGGTTTGAATTGTGTTGACAGTAATGAAATGTGCAGATGCACTTAACACATCATGATTCACTGCGACAGAACTTTCAATCTAATTCTAAACAACTTTGAGAGTTTCGGTTCTGCCTCAAACTTTCTGACATCGTCTGAAAAACAATATACACTTAGTTTGAGAAGAAACGTTTGACGAGTTTGGTTGGTTTGAAAGCCATTCAGTTCTTGTAGTTTGTATTTGCATTGTGACAATATGGTCATGAGAATTAAGCACAAGCTCATTAATGTGATGCAAAAATAATATATTATTTAAATTGTAATTATATATGATGATTCAATTGTTTTACAAACATGGTTTTCATTACAGTATCTCTAACATGGTTATTTTAGTATCACAGATATGCTATTATGGTTTTTATTATTACTTTGAATTAGTTTTTATTTTTATATTTTCTGTTTTCATTTATTTTAGTTTTTTTTTTTTGCATGTTTTTGTCATTTTTATTAGTTTTTAAATATGTCTAGTTTTCATCCCAAACCTTCCGTTGCAAATTCCAAAACGTCATTTTAGAGCTAATAACGGAGGCTTGAGCCATTGATATGCAGGCTAACGCAGTTATTAATGCAGTCTAATGCTGCGGTTATTAGAGAGAGAGAGAGGGAGAGAGAGAGATTAAGCGCGTGTGAATACCTGCGTCTGTGCGTCTCTCAGCAGCAGCGTCTACTAATAGCGAATCTTTAAGTTAAACTGCTTCAAGAACCTCGCTACTGAGAAATGTCATGTAGCTTTTCAGCTGCAAAACTATTTTATTGATAAATTCGCGGTGCAGCGCTGACAAGAAGTTTCTTTTCGCGTCTCTGCGTGTGTGAGAGAGAACGGGAGAAAGAAAGCGTGATTTCCGTAGCCTACATAAAAAAGGTGGAAGACATGGAAATATTTCCATTTTTTACCCTATTGTTTGTTATATTTATTTGCTCAATGTCTTCTGGGGTTTTTGGTTCTTTTACTGTTGTAGATAGCCCATAGTATAACAAAATATTATATATCTCTTCACTGTGTTTGAGCCCCACCTGGATGTAAATAATGCGTAAATCCGGCCCTGTGTGTGTGTTTGTACCTCTGTCCTTACATAAAACAGATGTATTTGTGTGTTGCATAAATGTGTGATTTCAGGCAAGAAGCGCCGATCTGTCCATCAGTTTTCTCTTAAAAACTCAGTATGAATGACGGGCCTAATGAGAGTTAATTACCTTGTTGCCTTGTTATAGTGTTTGTCACTGTTAGAACACTTTTGGAATGTAATTAAACAGAAAATTTACCCAAAAATAAATGTATGAAAACGGACATAGAATATATATATATATAATGTATAAATAGATTTTATAAAAAAATTTATTTATAAAAAAATATTTATTTAAAACTATTATTATTATATTATTGCTAACTTAAACTTATATTATTATGTTATGACTAACTTAAAAAATTTGAACTATTACAAATAGTTTTTTAGTAACTGAAATAAAGCTACAATAAAATAAAATAAAATAAAATATTAGGTGAAGATATTTAAATAGAAATTACAAATGTGGCTTTGGCAACTAACAGAAATAATAATAAATGAAACGATGCAAAATAATTTAAGCTGAAGTACTAAAATTATGAAATAATTAATTAATTATATAGAAATATTCTTCTTTAAAAAACAAAAAAAAGAACAAATACAAAAAGCCCTTAACAAAATTACTACAACTTAATAAATAATTTTAAATTTTAATTTAAAAATAGTAATACTAGAATAATTAGAAATGTGACAACTAACTGAAATAAAATAAATTTAAGAAAATAGTAATAAATACTAGAATAATTAGAAATGTGACAACTAACTGAAATAAAATAAATTTAAGCTGAAATACTAAAATTATTAAATAATTAATTAAATATATAGAAATATTCTTCTTTAAAAAACAAAAAAAAGAACAAATACAAAAAGCCCTTAACAAAATTACTACAACTTAATAAATAATTTTAAATTTTAATTTAAAAATAGTAATACTAGAATAATTAGAAATGTGACAACTAACTGAAATAAAATAAATTTAAGCTGAAATACTGATATGGTTGTGTGTATATATATATATATATATATTTAGTATAAATATCTTTAAAAAAGTAAAAATGACAAAAAGCCAAAATGACTAAAACGTAAATAAATAAATAATACTAAAATAACACTAGAGCAGATTGGATATTATGCTGAACTCCCATATCATGTCATTCCAAGTCATGCAGGTTTGGAATGCTGCAAATCACAAATCTGGAAACATTACGGAAACAGTGTGACACTTCGTGTCAGGGTGAGCTATAGCATTATAGTGCATCTAGTTAATACTGTACGTCCGGTCACCTGTGATCTGGTTCCCCTCCACGCTGATGTGCTGGAGGCTGCTCACATCCGTCAGGCGCTCGGGGAAAACCCTCAGCTTGTTTCTGGAGAGATCGATGCTGATCAAGTGCTGCATGTTTCCGACCGCCTCCGGCAGCGTTGTGAGGACGTTACCCTGCAGATCCACCTCTACAGCGAAACGAGAAAACCCTACTTCAACAAAACCATCTATATATATATTAAGTCGCTGGGGTATATTTGTAGCAATAGCCAACAATACATTGTATGGGTCAAAATTATTGATGTTTCTTTTATGCCAAAAATCATTAGGATATTAAGTAAAGATCATGTTCCATGAAGATATTTTGCAAATTTCCTACCGTAAATATAAGTCATTTGCAGGCTCTTGATGTGTGTGTGGACAATCAAAGTGTTGGGCTTCACAATGCCGCTGATTGACATTTAGGTTTACTTACTCTTGGCATTAAATGACTGATATGATGATTTAAGGAAAATATCACTTGATAAATTGGAAAATGGTCAAAATCAAGCAAATATGTGATTTAGAGCTTCTCAGTACAATAGCACCATCTACTGAGCACAGGCTGAACTAAACAGTCCATCAATAGTAACAATAAAAATGATAAAATAAACCATGAGGAACAATAGGGTGTTTTTTTTTTGCAATTACACAGCCCTGCATCTTGGAAAAAAAACTAATATTACCCGATTTGGTGATGCCGAGTTAAAAAATAAATCAAAATAATCAATAAAAACTTTCCATGTAGAAAATAACAATGAAGAATAATAAAAAAAAAATTTAAAAAAAAAAAATTTAAATATACAATAAAAACTTTCCATGTTGAAAATAATGAAGATTAAAAAATAAAATAAAATAAATATACAATAAAAACTTTCCACGTAGAATAAGAATGAAGATAAAAAATAAAAAAAATCGTGCTTATAATGTAGTCTGTGTAGGACAGTATATTCTGTGCAATCGAAGAATCTCCCATGAGGCACTGTGCATGAAGTAACCAAGTCAGTCACTCTGAAACTTTTAAATATTTTATATTTGATTTGATTCATATTTTGCAATAAAGTTCAAATATTTAGTGTTTTATACTTCAACATGTAAACTACCATTCAGATGTTTTAGGTCAGATTTGTAATGTTTTTGAAAGAAGTCTCTTCTGCTCACCGAGGCTGCATTTATTTGATCAAAAATACAGTAAAAATGTTGAAATATTATTAGAATTTTGTTGAAAATAATGAAGATTAAAAAATAAAATAAAATAAATATACAATAAAAACTTTCCACGTAGAATAAGAATGAAGATAAAAAATAAAAAAAATCAATAAAAACTTTCCATGTTGAAAATAACAATGAAGATTTAAAAAAATAAAAATAAAAAATAAAAAAATAAAAATATACAATAAAAACTTTCCATGTAGAAAATAAGAATGAAGATTAAAAAATAAAAAAATAAAAATATACAATAAAAACTTTCCATATAGAAAATAAGAATGAAGATTAAGAAATAAATAAATAAAAATAATCAATAAAAACTTTCCATGTAGAAAATAGGAATGAAGATTTAAAAAATAAATAAATAAACAAATTAATTAAAACAGTTATATATATAATATATATATATATATATATATATATGTGTCACATCCTTCAGAAATCCTTATAATATGCTGATTTGCTGCTCAAGAAACATTTCTGATTATTATCAATGTTGAAAACAGTTGTGCTGCACAATATTTTTGTGGAAACTGTGATGCATTTTATTTTTCAGGATTCACAGATGAATAGAAAGTTCAAAAGAACAGCATTTATTTGAAATAGAAATCTTTTTAACATTAATTTGTAACATCAATTTAATGCATCCGTGCTAAATAAAAGTATTAATTTCCATAATTTCCTTCCCCCCTCCCCCCAAAAAATAGCTTTTGAATGGAATAGTGTGTAATGTTACAAAAGCTTTTTATTTCAGATAAATGCTGATCTTTGGATCTTTCTATTCATCAAAGAATCCTGAAAAAACTTAACTGTACTCAACTGTTTTAAATATTGATAATAATGTTTTAATGTTTAAATAATGATTTCTGAAGATCATGTGACACTGAAGACTGGAGTAATGATGCTGAAAATTCACAGAAATAAATTACATCTTAACAGATATTCACATAGAAAACAGTTATTTTAAATAGTAAAAATATTTCACAATTTTACTGCTTTTGCTGTATTTTGGATGAAATAAAGTGCAGCCTTGGTGAACAGAAGAGACTTCTTTAAAAAACATTAAAAATCTCACTGTTCAAAAACTTTTGACTAGTAGTGTATTAAATCACAATTTCTAAAGTGCCTAAATGTCAAAATTAGTACAATATGTTTGTTGAAAATGTCTAATACACTATTGAATTATTAGGCTGTGAGCCTGTTACTCATATTATTTTTG